GCACATGAGCACGCTAGCAGTGAGAAGTCCACACAGGCAGACAGATACACTCAAGAACTGGAGGAGAGGCACGTGGTTACCCTGTAGTTTTCAGTTACTATATTAGGATCTTCATTTAAAATGAAAGTTAGAATTTAGGGTACACTGGGAACTTTTGTAAGGTGGAAGATTGGAAGAAAACAATTAACTAATTGTGTTTTAACTAAAATTGTTCTCAGTTGGCACTTACATACTCACTTTTTGATTTTGAGTTACAGAAAAGGTCAACTATTTCTGTTCAGAAAACAGAGGCTATTTATAAGACTCTTGGGTATATTACTTTGCAAAGATCTTGCAATCTTCCTGTATTACCAAGGAACATTAAGAAACACAACATTTTGGAGCAAGTGATTCATCACTTGCTGGGAACTATGTCTTCATATAATGCAAAGTAATGTTACTTATCGAGGATAATTTTTCTTTTCCAATTCTGGCTTTCTGCAATATGAAAAAATATTTAAAAAACATAAAATTACCTCTCCTTCTATAAACTTTTTGGCAGACACAACCTCATCAGTAGAATGAATGGTGCCTCAACCACTCTAACACTAAGCATTATAGTCACAGAGGCCAGCTCAAGTGCCAGCACCTCTGCAGGCCTTCCCTGACCCGCACAGTCCATACCACTGAGGATGACACAGTGTCCAGAGTGAGTTCTAGAGTCATATAGAATCTAGGCTTGGGCCCCTTGCTAGCACTGTGACCTTGGGAAGTTACAGAACTTCTCTGAGCCTCACTTTTCTCTCCCCATGAGGATTAAATAACACCCTGTCTCTCAATACCTGCTGCCTAGTGGGCCCTCAATAAATGTTGGTTTTATTCGCTTGTTCTTCCTCTGAAACCCACGGGATTTCTGTATATAGCATTCACTTGTCATAACTACATTGTGGAGTGGGTCCTGAGCCCCTCTATGATGACATGTCCTGGAGGCAGGGGCTGCGTCTCCCTGTGTCCCTCGTCAGCACAGCCCCTCACCCTGTGTGCAATAATAATTGGAAGTTTTGAGAGTCTACTAAGTGCCAGGCACTGTGGCATGTACCACATTATCTCATTTGATTTTTACAACCACCCTAAGACAATAGGTGCTGTTTCACTGACACATGAGACAACTGAGGCTCCTCGTGGTTAAATAACTGGATTGAAGAAGCAGTTATGTGAACATAAAAGATTCATGAATGGGTGTTAATCAATCCAAGTTCTCTGGGCTGTCCTGGCCCTCTTGGGAGCTCCATCTATATCTGTCGATTGGCATCAAGGTCATCTTTGTCAAGGCCACCACGTACAGTCGTACAGGTTGTGTCCTGCACAAAGGCCCCTGGCCAGAGGGTGGAGTGGAGCTAAATCCCAGCCCACTTCACTCCCCGTGCTGTGCATCCCTGTCTGGGGTTACAAGCTCCTGGAGAAATGGGTGCCTTTTTCTTAATTTGCCTACTGTTATGTGACATGGACATAGAACTATCAAGTTCTACCAGACCATCTCATAGTGCTGAAACCTGCCAAATTCCATCTAATCATCTCAAACCCCTCCTCCCCCTGCAGCACCAACTCAGAAATGTATCTGTCTTCCTATAATACAGAGGTTGGCACACTATTTCTAGAAAGAGCCAGACAGCAAATATGAGGCATTGCAGGTCATCTCCATGGCTGCTATTCAACTCTGCCATTGCAGGGCAAAAACAGCATTAGACAATATGTAAACAAATTTGCATGGCTGTATTCCCATAAAATTTTGTTTTTAAGTATAAGCAGCAGGCTGGATTGGACCATGCACTGTAATATGCTGGAATTCTTTGAGGATAGGAACTAGGCCTCAATTATATTTGTATACCCACTGCCTAGCCTATAGTAGGTACTCAATAAATGTTGGTTGAAGACTGATTGAATTAGAAAAGCATTCCAGTGTTGTGTTCTTCAATCTGAGAAGGTTCTAGGTAGAATGAAAAGATGGAAAGAGTTATCTTGGCCAGAAGGTTAATCATGCAAGACTTGCAAACTCCAATGTCCAAGTAGATCAGATGGACAACAAAGTAAGTGAAAGGAGCTAGGGGCAGGGAAGGCATTAGGGAGTGGCAGGGACTGTGGTAAAAGGGGCTGTTGCTATTCTCTACAGCTGTGTATTGTCTTCAGAAATACAGACAGATTGGGGATAATTATTAATAATTATTATTAATAAATATTATGATTATTATATTATTATTATTATTATTTTAGAGACAGGGTCTCTGTCACCCAGGCTAGAGTACAATAATGATACAGTGGTGCAATCATAGTTCACTGCAGCGTTGAGCTCGTGGCCTCAAGAAATCCTCCTGCCTCAGCCTCCTGTGTAGCTGGGACTACAGGTACACGCTACCATGCCTGGCTAATTTTTTAATTTTTTTTTATAGGGAAAGTGTCTCACTATGTTGCCCAGGCTGGTGTCAAACTCCTCGGCTCAAACAATCCTTCCACCTCAGCCTCCCAAAGTGCTGAAATTACAGGCATGACCCATCACATCTGGCCTAGACTGATATTTTTAAAAAGAAGTCAGAAATCTAAACTTTTATGTAAAAATGTCCTATTTTTATTATACTATATAAGCCAAACAAAACATTTTTACAAGCCAGATTCAAACTACTTGGTTGCAGTAGAGTTAAGACTTCAGAGAAAAGAAATGAAGACCCTGAATAAAAAAAATAAAAAAAAAAAAAGAACAACAACAACCTAAAAAGAATGGATTGTAGCTGCAACCTACTTCATTTCAGTTAGATTTGCAGGGTCTTCCCTGACAGGTAAAGTAATGAAAGTTGGGCTGGATTTCTCAGGGAAAGATGTGAAGCCTTTTGTACAAGATGAAATTTTCTCTAATCAAGAAGGTTTCAGGATGAGACGTAAAACTGGATTAATAACATCTGCAAGTCTCCGGGCCTGTCACTCTGTATCCCAGAATATTTTTGAGTAATCTTCAAAATGTTGTCACTGTCAATTCCTTTAACTGCCTGAAGAGGTTAATGGAACTTCCATATGTCCCGCTGGCAGTTAGTCCTACCAAGATGTGCTAACGTAATTTTGGGGTTTGCTTTCCCAGGTGCTGCTCCCCCGAAGAGGTCTAACTGGGTCCTTACCAAACCTGCTCACCCGGCTGGAGCAGATGCCGGACTATTCCATCTTCCGGGGCTACATCATTGCAAGTACCTCATTCCCTGCAGGACCGCCTTGCTCAGATCGCGCAAGAATGGGAATCCCTCATGCACTCTTCTCTCTCCATTGCAGCAATATAACCTGGCGAATGCCATCGAGGCGGCCGATGCCTACACAGTGTTTGCTCCAAACAACGATGCCATCGAGAATTACATCAGGGAGAAGAAGGTCGCAACTCTAGTAGGTATCAGGAACAATAACCAGGGAAGTTATTTTCTGAAAATTCAGACACTCAGCCAGGCGTGGTGGCTCACGCCTGTAATCCTAGCACTCTGGGAGACTGAGACGGGCGGATTGCTCAAGGTCAGGAGTTTAACACCAGCCTGAGCAAGAGCGAGACCCTGTCTCTACTATAAATAGAAAGAAATTAATTGGCCAACTAATATATATATAGAAAAAAATGAGCCAGGCATGGTGGCGCATGCCTGTAGTCCCAGCTACTTGGGAGGCTGAGGCAGCAGGATTGCTTGAGCCCAGGAGTTTGAGGTTGCTGTGAGCTAGGCTGACGCCACCGTACTCACTCTAGCCTGGGCAACAAAGCGAGACTGTGTCTCAAAACAAAAAAAATTAAGACACTCACCATTTTCAATCCAGCAATTGTATGCCATTTCACTCTTTCATCAAAACCCCCTCGCCCATTATAGGCTCATTATAGGCTCACATGCTCATTATAGGCTCATGCAGAGACTCTCCCGTACACAAACCTCCCCCATGCAAGAGCTGCTGGATGTTCTGTGCCTACCCCTGGAGTCATGCACTTGAGCCAATATACACAGCATGCAGGCATCCCACAAACCTGGAAGGATCCTCCTGGTCCTCCTCCTCCCCTTCCCTGGCCTCTCCCTGGTCCCAGCAGATGAGATGTCAGCTTCAATCATGCCACTATCTGGCTTTTTTTTTTTTTTTTTGGTAGGTAGGTAGTGCTTTTACACTATCTGGCTTAAAACCCTTCTCTCAATCCTGTTTCTTGCAGGGCTAAGTACAAACCATCTCCCCAGGTACTTAAGACCTCCATAAACTGGCCACAATTTGTCTACTATTCAGTGGTGGCTCCAGATTTTTCATATATAGGGGGCCCAGCCCCACCAAAGAGGACATGTTTGAAGCTGGATTTGCACGGCAAGCACACTGTTTTCACTTACACTTTTATGTAGGGTGGCCGAGACGAAGATGCTAAGGAGATGGGGCTGGTACTGAAGCCCCTTAAAGCCACCCTTGGGCCCAGTGCTGTCTCCCACCAGTGCTCTGGAGAAACCAGGTAGTCTAACCAGAGTGATGGTCTCACAGATCCTAAACATGCAAAGATGTATGTGATGCCTTTGCTCCTATCTACACACACGTGCACACACGCACACACACACGCACCAACCCCTCAAGACACCACACCTGCCTCCTTGCACGTATGAGCTCAAGTGTGCAATTCCAGGGTATGCATGAAACATCCGGCGGCTCTGGCATGGGGAGGCTTGTGTATGGGAGAATCTCTGCTGAGTCTATATTAAATATGGGGCTATATACAAAGAGGCTTTGATGGAAGAGTGAAATGGCCATGACTGATAGATTGAAAATGTTGAGTGACCTTTCAGAAAATAAGGATTATTTTCCCTTATTTAATAAGGAAGTAAGGAAGGCTGCCCTTCCTCCTCCAGACCTCCTAAATCCCTCCCATCAGTTCCTCATGCTCAGTCCCACCCCCTCGGGGAAGCTGGCTCTGCCACCCGAGCTGCAGGTACTCTCTGCTGCCTTGGAAACCACCCACACGTGCCCCCTGCAGCACTTACCCCGTATCCCTGCTGAGACGACCCATCTCGAGGGGTGAGTTTGAGCTCTCCGACTAGGTTGTAAATTCTGAAGGCGGGGACAGCATCTTGAACTTCTGTAACAGGCATGTTGAACAAACAGGACTCTTGGGATGAAATCCGAATTCATCTTGACCTTGTCCCTTGTTCCTTTAAAACTCTTCAGTAGGGAGCATTAGTTTCTTGCCCCAGGATGAGACTTGAGGCAGTCCCATAGCCTTTCTGCTTCCCCAAAAAGTCCTATAGTCACTTTAGTCACAACTGCTCTTTAAGTCACAAAAGAGGGGAGGGGAGAGAGAGAGGGGAGAGAGAAGGAGGAGAGAGGAGAGAGAGAGAGAGAAGGGAGGGAGGGAAGGATGGGAGAGAATCCAGCCTTGGCAACCCTTGCAATAATCAACATTTTAAACTGGATTTAAAATGAATTCTTCCTCCCTCCCTGCTCCTCAGTGGGGCTTGGTGCAGGCAGGAAGCCGGAGAAGAGGGCTTGGTCCTTAAATCAGCCAGGGTCCTTCAGGAGACAGAAACCATACCAGTTACTTGAACAAAGAGAATGTAATAATATGAATTGTTTATATAGGTGTATAACCTATATAAGGGTATAAAGTTGTATAAATATAACTGAAAGGTAAATAAAAGAGAGAAAGATATCAAAGTGGCAGCAACTGCAGGAGGCATCAGTGACCCCTAAGGCTGGGAGAATGAAGGGCACAGGTTGGAATTGCTAAAGTGTACGAACCTAGAGACCTCCAGGAGGGGGCGCTGTTCAGCTGGCGCAGGTGCCCGAGTTTGCAGGAGGGTCCCTGCGGGTGGGAGACCCAGACAGGGCAGGACGAAGCTGGCTCTGCGCATGGTGGGAAACTGCCTTCCAGATTCAGCTGCCACTGCCGGAGAAGAGGAGTGAGGCTGGGGAGCCGCGACAGGGACAGGAAGGAACGACCCCTCCTTCCCCCTCCAGCCTCACAGCCTTCCTCTAGAGCTTCCCAGTGGTGGCGCCTAACAGCAGTCCCCTAGCAAAGGTGAACCGTGGGCGACAGCCTCTGCCCCACATCACGGAGCAGAGTGTAGGAGGCGGGTTTGGGGCTGACAGACAACCGCTTGGGAACCTCTCCTCTCCTTCCCTGTCGGATGCGTCTGGAAAGTTCCCCCTGATCTTAACTAGATTCAGTGTTGGTTCACCAGGTTTGAAGCTGAGAGGTAGAAGCATCAGGAAGGACCCTCAGACCGCAGAGCCTCCCCTGCCCCTGGGGAGCCTGCCTGCCTGCCCACCAGGCTGCCTTCAGCTCTCTGGGACACGCCACAGGTCCAGGCTCCTGTCCCAAGCCCTCTCCAAATGCAAGGTCTGTCCCAGTGCAGCGACAGCCCTCCTCGTCCACCCCGAGCAGCTCACCAGCAGCCCCTGCCTGGGGCAGCCCCTGTCCACCAGGCCACCCCATCTGCAGGGGGCACAGCTCAAGGTCCCTGAAATGTGAAGCTCCGTTTGTGGCCCGGGAGGTGAAAGGCAGGCTGGGGTGTGGGGTCTCTCTCTTCTCAGCAGTTCTGCCCAAAGAGATCTTCTTTAAAATCCACCCCCAGCTTTCACACCCTGTCTGGGTGTTAGAGTCCTGCAGTGAGTTCTCGACTGTCCCACCTGGAACCTTTGCAGGTTCTCTGAGGTGATCCGAATCACAGCTCACTTTGGTATTTAGTATCAATTGTGTCTTGATGCCTCCGTCAAAACCTCCACTACCTCAAGCCTAAAATCCTAGCACTCTGGGAGGCAGAGGCGAGTGGATTGTTTGAGCTCAGGAGTTTGAGACCAGCCTGAGCAAGAGCAAGACCCTGTCTCTTCTTAAAAAATGGAAAGAAATTAGCTGGACAACTGAAAATTAGCTAGGCATGGTGGCACATGCCTGTAGTCCCAGCTACTCAGGAGGCTGAGGCAGGAGGATCGCTCGAGCCCAGGAGTTTGAGGTTACTATGAGCGAGGCTGATGCCAGGGCACTCTAGCTCTGGCAACTGAATGAGACTCTATCTCAAAAAAAAAAAAAAAAAAAAAAAGACTTCCTCCCAGGTGAGCCGCTGCTCCTCTCTGTAACCCGCACCACAGCTGGCCTGGGGACAGGCCGGTCACTGACCGCCTTTCAATTCTGTGTGTGGTGCAGGAGGAGGACATACTCCGCTACCACGTGGTCCTGAGGGAGAAACTCCTGAAGAACGACCTGCACAACGGCATGCACCGCGAGACCATGCTGGGTTTCTCCCACCGCCTGGGCTTCTTTCTCCGCAATGAGCAGGTGCGATCCTTTTATGTAAGCCCCGGAATGAGCATCTTAGTGCCTTTCATCCTTCGTCACTTCCACTTTGGAATAATCTCACCAGCACTTCCTAAGCCTTATCAACACATAACAGGTGCCTGTGATTCACCTAACCCAGGCTGGCAAGCTCCCACTCACCTGCCCTGTCACCAGCCTTCAGATCTTCTGTGCAGCCTTAGAATTGTGGCATTTGAATCCCAGGCGCCCTTAAGCACTGGTACAGCAAACCCAACAGGCAGTCCCCAAGTGGTCCCCAGGATGGAAGGGAAGCTGGGAGCTCAACCCAACTCCAGGAAGTGGAGCCGGCTCAGCGCATAAAGAGCCTAATGACACATATAGGTCGAGCGGCCAAATGTATTAAAATTATTACTGTTGCATAATCATAGAGATTGTAGTCCTGGGACCAACTGCCCACCACACTGGGATTCCATTACTAATCTCACACAATACTTAGATATGTTTAAATGTTTACAATTCATAAAAAAAGAATTAGTGAGACTAAATATTTAATATATTTCAAATATAAAATTTTATTCAAATATTTCAAATATCAAGTAAAAAGATCAATCTATAAAACTTCAACAAGAAACTCATGATATGATCCTAATGTAAATTGTCACAAGAAAAATTAATAAAAACAAATTATTATTTGAGACACTAAGCGCTAAATTGAAATGAAAGTTTAATCATAGAACTTGTTAAGCAATAATAATATCTGATCCTTTTTGGAAAGTGTAATCTTAAAAATAATTTCTCCAATGGTGTCATCATTGAATCACAAGTAATTTTTTTATGTAAAGTGTTGTTTTTTTTAAATCTGCTTAGGAGAAAAAAAGTCTTTCTGGCTCTTAATTACTTGAGAATAATCTAACTTGAAATATTTTTCTCTGACTCCTACAAATAATTCTACCTAGTGTGTAATAAATTTGAGGAGACCCTTTTAAATATATTTTCTTATTCTTTCAGGACTGGCAATTGTGTTGTTGATAGAGAGTTCTTATTTTTGTTTTTGCTTTCATCTGTCATCTTTTATTTCATCATGTAGAGATAAATATTCCAATGCAGTTAGTTGAATCAATTTCAATGCTGCAATGTTCATTTTCCATTTGTTCAGAAATTCTTTGATCTAAAGCAAGAGTTACTCACACAGTAGAGACTTTGCTGATACTAATTTACTTCTCTTACAACAATGGTAGTGTAGAAAAATGCTTTCTAAATGAGTAGATGTGTTCAGGTCAAAATTTAGTGCTATCCATAATTATCTGGATACCTCACTATGGAAATAATTCAGACTTCTTTAATGCCAAATCAACAGTATTACAACATCAAATGTTCTTCTATTTTGGTATTTAAAAATAGCTCAGTATCTTGGAATTCTAGAAAATTGTGGTCTCCACTTCTCCACTTCATGGTTAACTTGCAAGCAACCCTCAGAAAGGCTAAATAACAGCTATACAAGAATAAAAATAAGATCTGTCTTTGTCTAGTGTGTCCATAAGCATCCAAGACATGGGAACAAAGTCAATATCTAAATGCTGCCAAGTCAAATTCAATTTTGAGTTGTAATTTGGGTTTTTTTGTTGTTGTTGTTGTTGGTTTTCTAAGGGAACTATACTTTAGTGATTGACTAATGAAAAAATAAATGAAGCCATTAATTCATTAATTTATATAATGACAATACCTGGAAACAAATGGTTCTTTTAAAAATTGGGGTATTGTGTGTGTGTGTGTGTGTGTGTGTGTGTGCGCGCGCGCGCGTACATGTGCAGGTGTAGCAGGGCTGACGTTGGAAAACTCTTGCACTAAGAAGACATCAAGTCAGTATCCAATGAGGGCTTTAAACCCAATTCTAGACAAAGACAGATCTTATTTTTATTCTTGCATAGCTGTTATTTAGCCTTTCTGAGGGTTGCTTGCAAGTTAACCATGAAGCAGAGACGTGCTGAAAGGCAGAGATGCATCCTTCGCGTCTTGGTTATGAATGGCATTAGCATGTCCAGGGCCACGGGTCTACAGCCCAACAGAGCACGCCCAGGGAGTCATCCTGCCACTGGGCACTAACCTAATGATCATGTGTGTTTATTTTTCAAAAAAACATAAGCAAATTAATTTGGGAGATGGAGAGATACTTTAGAGATTATCTAAAACAACCTCTTCTTTTTACATAAGAAAAAATTGAGGTTCAGAGAGAGAAAGCAACTAAGTCAAGATCACAGAGCTAGATAATGCCAGATGCAGGACTGTTATTCAGACTCCCCTTCTTAGGCCAGAGCTCTTTCCAAGACAACTCATTACCTTCCAGGTGAATATTAGAACATCTTCTAGGCTGTCATCCTATTGGTAGCTTCAGTCTTCATCTTCCCCATCTCCCTTAAAATCACTATCATAAAAAGTCACATTTAACCCTCTTGTTCACAGCTGTATGTAAATGAGGCTCCAGTAAACTACACCAACATAGCCACTGACAAGGGAGTGATCCATGGCTTGGGGAAAGTTCTGGAAATCCAGAAGAATAGATGTGATAATAATGACACTACTATCATACGAGTAAGTTATATCCAGGGCCAATGATGCAACGAAAGGATGTGAGCTTATTTTTTTATAATTCTTTAAGTATAAGACTTTTCTATTAGGATATCTCAGTTCTGTCCAAAAACCACTGGGTGAGCGTCTCTGACGGGCCAAGGAGCATACCAGCCTGTGGGTCTGCAAAGAAACATAAGACGTGGCCCCTGCCCTCAATGGGCTCATGATCCAGTGCCATAGGTTGTGCCTTGAGTGCCTGGGAAAGGCTGCCTGGGGGTCTGTGTTGAGCAGGATTCTGGAGCCACAGTTTTCGTCAAAGGGGAGATGTACCACGTCCAGCACAGACAGGCACAGGGAGGGCACCTATGGCAGGTATGAACCAAACCTGGTCTCCTAGAAGAGAAAATATGGAAAGGAATGATTTCGGTGTAATATGGAATGTGATGATGGAGGCTTTTCACTTCAGTCCATGGGGCAGCATAGGATCTTTCAATAATAATATTAACTGCTGACATTTAATGGGCAGTTACAATGTGCCAGGCACTGCTGGAAACACTTTATATGTGTTATATTAACCCACGTAATCCTTACGGCATCCTACAAAGTAGGTGCTGTTACTAACCCCATTTTACAGATGGGGAAAATGAGCCACAGAGAGGTTAAGTAATAAACAGGTCCACACACTAGCTGGTGGCAGAGAAGGGATTCTGGCCCAGAGCTGGAACTCTGAACAGCCACACTGTACCGCCCAGTAGGTGCCAAGTTCAGGGCTACACACATTGACCTCCTCCTGTTTTAGGAACAGGGTGCACTTAGGAGTTTCTGTCATTGTAAACTTTTGTTCTTTGTTTCTTAATTGTGTTATAATCTCTGTGGAGGATCTCCACTCTCCACCCCTCAGCCGGACACCCTAGCTGGGCACTGGGTGTGGCACTTGGTTAGTTTCTGAATCTGGCCCAATTCACTAAAGAGTGGGTTTTCAATAAATAAGAGTTGCTGTTAAAGGAATTAGGATTTAAATGAGATAACACCACACTTTAAAGGGCTATTACAGTCAGAAGAGTATGGTGGAGAAAAACGACCCTCTAATTTGCTAATATGCAAGACCCAAAGTAGTTGAAGTGTTTGTCTCGAAGAACATTAAAGAGGTTGACCAGATGACCTTTCTCCCTTTACAGTTCCATGCACTAAAATTTTCATTTCTAAGCTTCAGAAAATACTTGCAGCCTCATTTTGCACTAAAATTAATAACATCAAAATGTTCCCTTTGCCTCTGTGTTTCACCAAGGGAAAATGTGGGAAGTGTCCCCAGCAGCCGATCTGCCCATTTGGAACTAAACCACTGGTAAGTATTTTGTCTGCTTTGATAAAATAGTTTCCAGGTCCTAGGGAGTCCAAATTAGAATATCAATCTCAAGCATGCCTCATTT